ATTCAGGGTTTGCGGTCCATGAACTGGGACTGTTCATGGACCACAAATTTAACTTTACTTTTAATAATTGTCTTTAGTTAAATTTAGTGGATTGAAGTCAACATAGTTATAGACGAAACTGGAGATTTTGATGCAAATAAGGCAAAGCATTACAACTATTGACAGGTGAAGTCAGTAACCATCACTTCACCGTGGCAGCATATTAGCTCGAATACTTCAGGTATCAAGTACATGTTCCGTCCTCAAAGTCGATGTGTTAGAAACAGATCAGACAGGTAGAGATGAGCCAGTTTGACAAGACTGGTATCAATTAGGTTCACAAGTTTTAAAGCCTCAATTGAGGCTTCATCTGCAGTAATGGGGGCACTGCCCAAGTTTCACGGTGAAGAAAGAACTGAGCCAAAAAGCAAAGCTGTCAATTTTCTCTGTCTCCTTCACTTCTGATTACGAGGTACGGATTGTGACTAAAAGAATTAGATTCTTTTACATCGTATCTATTTTATCATGTTGAGATTAATATAATTATGCACTCACATGTGTCCGTTTACCCACGGCCGACATTCATTTTCCAAACTCTGTCTTGACATAAGAAAGATATAAAGATTGTAAATGTCAAATTAAACATGTTTATCTTGTTTATTTTTTTAGGATTATAACCAATGCTACATCTTACATTGTTTTGTGAGGAAGCTGTGAATAGTCAACAGTGATTTGTGACTATACATTATTTTTTTTTTTTTATTAAATTTGATGTATGTAGCACCAATTCACAATAAATGTCGTCTTTACAAAAAATAATTTCATTGTTTCAGTAACAACTGTTCCTGAAATTTGCTCTGCCAGTGAAAAAGGGTAAAATTTAGTTGATCCTGCGAAACGGCAGCTCGGCTGACCTCCGTGGGGTCGATCTGCAGCAGGCTCAGTGGTGTGATACAGTTGCTGCAAACGTTCAATCATTTATTGACTGACATTTGTTCACAAGGTGACGTTACTCCGGCTTATTCCAGCTCTAAGTAGGCCATTTGCAGCGCTTTTATGTGGTCTGGTCAGCCCTGATTGTGCAAACATGTGTGAAAGATTCATATAGAGCTCCCTTTGTGGCAGTGGACCACACAATTATTTTTAACCTGTTAAAGAGATTTCGGTGAGAGAAGCGAACACAGTCCAGATTTGAGTAGAATCACATTTGATCAAGAGCTTTACTCAAGTGAGTTGAAGCACTTGTGAAATAAAATATCAATGTTTAAAAAGCAAATTTGAATGTTTACTTTTTACATTGTCCTTTCTTGAAGTTGCTGATTTTATAGTTAAACTTTTTGTGTTCCTGTTCACACTTGGACCAGAATGAGGTTCTCATGTTTATGATATCCTTACATAAAAATACCACAGTTTTATGATATTAACACAAAATTATCAACAAATGCTCAACTTGATCAAATTTGTTGTATTCAAAACATGAAGTTGTGAACTGTAAGGTTCTTGGAAATGAAATTAGTCCTCTGTGTGGTGGATGGCAACCAGCTGCACATCAGTATAATAAATGTTAAGTCTGATGTTCTGCGCCTCAAAAGTCATCCTTGTTTCTCTGAAATTACATTGGTTGAGCTGTATTCAAGAAACTTTTGAACTTGGGGCTGGTTGTGCAGCAATTATCATTTCTTTGCTTTCTGGGTCCTTTAGCTGTCTAATTATTGTGAAACACAAATAAAACCCTGCTGATTTGTGTCACCAAATCAGCAGGCATCATGACATCGTTCTACTAAAGGTAATGGAACTATTTTCAATAATACTTTCACAATCAGGTTATATCACATTAAAGGGACCTAAACCATGGCCTTATACTTCCATTGTTTTAGTCCTCATACACCAGAGGCAGCTCAGCTCTGAGTGTTACTGTAAATTCTTATTGTCACAAACCGAACCCTTCATAACTCTTTTTTTTTCTGTCATCTTCTGTAGAAGAAGACAATCTAAGAGTTTCTCGTCAGCAAAACAGCCTCGTCTAACTGGAATGCAAAAAAAAATGTTTTAGGATATTTTTTTTTTCTTTAAATAGCTGATTGCTTTGCTTGCGTGTTTTGGGGGGACGATCTTTCAAAACTGCTTGTCATTTATTGCATTTTTAACCACATTCCAAACAAGGCCCTTCAACCGATCCATCTTTGTCCCTCGTGGATTGGCATTTGCAAGCTAAGCAAAAACTGCTCGAGCCATTTCCTGCTTCATTCTCTGCTGGCTTTGTTGCTGAAGTGGTCTTGGCCTCCTAGAGAGAGAGAGAGGGAAAAAAAAGACTTTTAATTAGCTTGAATAATAGCCACGCATGTGTAGACTTAATCCCTATGCCTAACTCTGCTCCGTTAATGGTTTCCTTGTCACTCATGGGGTACTATGTGAAAGCACGATTTGCTTTTCACTTCCAACACCTTCCGCTTTTTTTTTTTTTCCTTTCCATCGTTGAACCTTTTTTTCCCCCACCCGCCATTCCACACACATCCATCCTCCTGCTGACCACAACAGGTCTTCTCTTATTCTTTGCTTTCTGGCCTGGTCGTTGTTTGATTGAACCTCCCAATAAAGATAAATCTATCCCTCAATCCATCTTCTGGTAAAGCAATAGAAGCGATTACTCACATAATGTTCAAAGTGAGTATTCATGTTTTCTTGGTAATCCAGTTTGTTCTTGACTGACTGGATTTTTGTTTACTCCGCTCTCACTGTCGATTGTTTAAAACTCAGGAATAAAAAGTAAAAACAATTTTGAAAACCAGAGAACTTATGACAAAAATATCTTTGAAATTGTCTCTTTTGTACAAATTGGATGAAAGGTCTATTAAATTTTGTTACATTTAATTTAACAACTGATGGATATTGACTGCATTCTAAATGTTATTTTGGTTTTTTTTTTCCTAGTTGAAAGTTTGGATTAGATTCTTCACTAGTTTCCAATGGGCCCATAGTTTGGCCCTCTGACAGCTGAAGCTTTATAGAAAAGTGCTTCACATGCAAAGAGCCTTAAGATGTAAATCAATAAGAGATGGAGCAGAGCAATGCATTTTCATTGCCGAGGCTCTGTGCGAACTGCCAGCGCGTGACCCGCTCCAGAGGGAGATGGAGCACAGCTCACCAATACCTAACCAGGAGCAATATTGAACCAGATTGCCCTTCCTGCTCATTTTTTCTTCCCCCCCCTCCCCCCCCCCGTTTCTATCTTTTTATGTATTGTTGTGTCTTTCAGGGCGTTTCTCCGTTTCTCTCGCTCTCCGAGTCTGAATGCCAAGAGGCGTACAGGTACTGATTTAGCATTAAAAGTCAGCAAACAGCCATGGATGTCTATAGGTGAAAGTCACTGTCCCCTGCAGTTCCCAGTGCCTGGTATAAATCTTTTAAATTAAAAAATCAATAAATAGTTAATACAATAATAGGAATCTGTATAAATATTTAAGTATGAGGGTTGGAAGGGGATGGGGGGGAGCAAGTGTGTTCCTGAGTGCACACGGTATACACTAAAACACTATCTGAAAAACTCAGATAAAAAAAAAAAAAATTGATTTTGTGTCAGTAATTTGAAGCAATTTTTAATATAAGTCAGAGCTCCTCTTTATGCTGCTTTGCAAAAGTAACATTTTTTTTTTCTTTTTTTTTTTGATAATTTCCAGCACAAAATTCAATTGGTTGCTCTGGGATTTTGTGATGACATGGACAAGCGTATAATTATGAATTTAAAACCGACGTCTTATGCTCTCTGTCCAGCCAAGATATTTTGCTAAAATAGGTGAGGAAACATTTCCGTCTCTGCGTGTTTAAAGTTAGTAAAACAAACGCAGGCCACACTTTTCAGCTTCTTTTCGTAAAGGCTTTGAAACCCATGTATTGTGTTCCTTTCACTTCAGTGGTGCACTACTTTGTGTCGGTCTATCAAACGAAATCCCACGAAATTCATTGAAGTTTGGGGTGCCAACTTGGCGACATGGAAAAATTAAAAGGGTATGAATAATTTTCTCAATATCTTTATTTCCATATTGTTTAGATTATGTATTAAATTATATTCTGCTTCTTTGATTTCAGAGCCTGTCATTCTTGACTTTGGATCTCTTATTCTAAAATGTTTGCTGCATTTGGGTTCCTATCGTGAACTCCATGAACTTCATCAATCTATGAAATGTGTTTTAACGCTATAACTTTTGGGGTGGGGGAAATAAATAAATAAATAAAAGCAAACCTCTTAAAATCCACTACTACAGTTCTCTCTGCTTCCCTCTCTGCCTGTTTATCCTGCCATCCTTCTGTCTCTCTGACAGCCTAACGCCGTGTTCCCCATCTCTGTCGGGAGTTAATTTGGCAGAACAGTCTCGTTGCACACTGTGATCACCCGGTGAATACCCCCATAATTCTCTCTGCCTCTGCCTCTGCCCCTCATCCAGCCATGGAAATGACACCAAGCAGCTGACAGTTCAATTTAACCATAACAGATGAAGGCTATCATGCCGGCACCCGCGCGCCGAGCCCTTTTCCTGTTGACTTTTATTTTTTAGCCACCGAGAGAAAGAGAGATGCTGCCTGAGCGCGTCCCACCGTTCCCCCGGCTCGACTAGACTCCAGTGGCGCCTCCTCTCCTCCTCATCACTGCCGGTCCTCTGGGGAGAGATGTTGCCACTCGTTTATGTGACTTTCTCTCAGTGCCCCCCTAATAGACACATAAACACACACAAAACATCCAATCTTCTCCCCTGAGTATGTATGAAGAAAATATTTTTTTTTTTGCCCCTTTGACATGCAATGTTCTTCGGAACATAATATCTTAGTTTGATTTATAACTCCAGTTTTGATGCATCTCTGCTTGATGTTGTTACTCCATTATCAATCATGCGATACATATCCACCCCTCCTCTACCAAATGATAATATCCTTGCTTGTGCCTCTTTTCCATTATCCATCTGAGCTTTACATAAATCCACACCATCATTAGGTCAGTCAAAAGCAAACACATTATCCATTTCCTATATTTCTGTCTCTTTTGTTTTCCTGCATGATGCAGTGCTGCGACAATGTTTAGAAGAAATAATAATTCCTTCCAGAAGTACTCATATGCAGAAAACTTCCCATTTTGTTGTGTGTTTAGTGTGTTTTATTTGGCTTGTATTTGTGATAGACCAACAAAAAATGGTGCATGGTTGTGATCTGGTTTGCTGAATCATGAATTAGAGGAATTTTGCTTCTGGTCTATAAAGACCAGGTTTGTGTTGTAGTCAACCATACCTGTCCATCTGAGCTGTGGCCTTCCTTTTTGCTACTTTGACTCTGATTAAAGCTTTTTCCTGTCAGCTTGGGTCAGAGATCAGCCTTTTTTTTTACCTAGAGCTGACAAAAACTTTAATGACCCTTTGTAAAACAATAGTTTTATCTAGTTTGCTTGTGGTTAAATGAAATATCCTAATTCTTATGTTTTTAATCTAAGAAAAGTATTTGGGGAAAATGCAAAAAAAAAAAAAAAAAAAAAAAATAAAAATATTGCTACACTGTTAATCTAAGATTTTCATGTTGAAATAATTGAACCGTGTAAAGATGACTAATTATGAACAAATGTCACTCTGAGATGTTTGTGGTTGTAATGTTACAAGTATATGAAAAAAAAAAATGAGAGGTGTGAAAAATGTTGCGAGGAGCTTGAAAACCCTAGTCAGTCAAAGATGACAAACTCTCCAAACAAATTTGAAATAAAAGACTTGGGTTTTCAGATCCCTGTTTAACTAGTTACCTTAATCTGTTATATATGCATGATGATGTTTTAATCACTTAGAAATAAGTGAGTTTCCCAATCATATCTGGAGAAAGGATACCAAAGGAGACCACAACTTGTGCTAGGCATTGCACACACACACTTTTTTGATCTCTGCTTCTGTTTCAAGGAGACGGCTCTTCATCTTGGCACAGCTGTCAACCATCGCATCCATTTGTGTCATTCATTTCCCTCCCGTTCTAATAATGAGCTGCTCCTATAATAAAACAATTAGAGGGGGCATATTCACTGCTACACTCCTGTCCTGCCCCCTGTCCATCTGTCTTTTCATTTTCTCTCATGTCCATTAGCATTTTCAGACTTTTAAATGAGATTTTTTTTTTTTGTATCACAACCAACATCCATCCTGACAGATAAATAATAAGATGAAGACCCTTTAGACTTCCCAGGATTTTCAGATGTACTTTTCTATGCTACTGAATGTGTATGGATGTCAGTATGGATTAAAAGAGAGCCCAAGACAAAGAATAAAAATCTGAATCTTTCTGTGGTGTGGCGACATTGTAACTTCTTTTGTTCTCTCCTACCAACACGTATCAAATTGGTGGTTGCTGGTAGGAAGTCTCAGCTCCTCCAGCCATGACAGTCTGGTAGAGAAGCCGGCGTATAATCAAATACGCCGCTTCTCTGCCTCCAAATGTCCAATTTAACTGCTGGCACTGAGGCGATATATAAAGGTGGGCACACAGGGGTACACAGGTTTCTCTCTGCAATTTGATCTAATCAGCGTCTGATTCAGATTCAGTCAAGACACCATGTGAGAGAGTAGCTTTTCGAGCCGCACGCCAATCAGCCAACTAGCAGCAAGTGGGGCATCCAGCGCTTCTGGTGTGGAGTCGTGGCTTTCTATAATCACTGAGACAGAATGGGAACTTTTGGGGATAACAAGGCTCCTTTTTTCCTACCTGCCAGGTGGTCTTGACACTTTTAAGGCCTACCTCAGCCGACCTATTTGGGAAATAACATTGTTTTACAGAACAGAGGGATATCTTTGGAACACCACAATGAAAACGGTGATGTAATAACATGGTTAGAACTAAAAGAAATATCTCCAAACCAGTCTTTTATTCCCTTTGAGCATATCCAATTTTGGAGAGTTTTGTATAATAGCAAAATAGTGGATGCAAATTTAGCAATTATAATTGTTTGATTAAGTGACAGAGCATGTATTCATTTAAGGAATTAAACCGTTATTCATGCAAATGACTATCGTCAACAGCCTTTCTTAAAAAATGGCAGACATTAATGATCAAATTCAGGAATCATAATAAAACTAACACAACAAATCAGATGTATATATGCAGTATATATTATTTATTTTATTCATCCTCAGAAAGAGGCTGAATAAAAATTGGGGTTGAAGTGTCGAGTTGTGAAATCCTCCTCAAAAATTAAGCAAAAATTATTTGTGCTTGATCACATAAATAAGCTCATAAGGTCCAAAATTAGCTATACCTACGTCAGATATAGATTTAAAAATATTTTTCTTCCAAACGACAAGCTTACTTCTGACTGGAAATGAGAAAGGGATCTCTCAAAAGATGATATGATAGTTGTGCAAAAACACAATTGGACTGTTTTTCATTTTTGTTTTAATATTCAATGTAAAAATTGCAATTGATATCACAACAAAATCTGTCTTAAAATTGCAGACCCAGTATTTTGTGTGTTTTCACTGCCATTTTGACAATTTATCTTTGGTGATGAGCTCAAAGTCTACGTAGTAGTAAGGTCTCAGGTTGGTATTCCAGTATAAAAACATGCACGTAAAATAAAAAGGTTATTTCAAGCCCAACTCTGCTTGGACTGTGAATAATTTTGAGTTCACCAGTATTAAATCATGTGTGAAAGCCTTTATTTCCAGACTTAATTTGGTTCTGGTAAGTTTATTTATGTTGTGGCGATTTACAACAAATGCCACCTGAAGATCCTTCCCAGTTTCCACAGATCTACTTTGCATCCAGCTAACATATAATCAAGTCAGTAGAATGGAATAGAATATTCTTTATCGATACAGTAAAGCCTACTCATTACGAAACAGCATTCATTCAATACGCAGATATTGGTTTCGTATGTGTGTATGTGCCATATGTGAGGTTATTATCACCCTGTATGAGGAAGAAATCCCCACTCAGCACCTGGTGAGGATCAAACTGCAGGCCTAGCACTGTAATGTAAATGGAGGGGGGGGAGCAGCGGAGAGAAAGCGAGGGGGGGGAGACTTGTAAAGATTGTATTTTCAGCAGATTTTAGGCAAAAACATTCCTTCCCCTGCTTCATATGTCAGCTCTGTTTAAACATCGCTGTCTGCCTATCCCAACCCATGGTAAGGCATTTGAATCTTTAAGCACAGAAGAGAACGTGGAATGCATCCCCGTCACAGCCAGTGGTTAATGTTTAAAGAGAAAATAATGGAAATACAATGTCATATTCGGAAGATTCAAAAAATATGCTTTATTACAGAGGGCAAATATGACTAAATAATATATTAGATGTGCATGTTTTACATCGCTGTGAATACCAAAGCACCACTGAATGGGCCGAGTAGAGTCGAGTGCCAGGTAAACAAACAAGCAAACAAGATGTTTTAATGGATGCAGGACGACATGTGGCTTGCCGGACAAAACGGCTCTGACAGTTTTGCTGTCTTGTCAATTTCTTTATGATGCTCTACTAATCTTTGGTGCCTTTTTCAACCAGCTATTCAGCACTTTGTACACAAAAGAGCACTGTGTGAAAGAAGTCCTTGCACCACAAGACAAAATGACACAAATGTTGGTTAAAATCTGATAATGTAATGTTGTTGAATCCCTTCTTCTCTGTTGTTTTGCATCTGTCCCTGCAGAGAAGAACTGAACATTAACAGATATGCCCTCAAAGCATTCAGTAGTGCTGTCCGTAAACTACATTTTAGAAGGTCAGCGCTGCCCTGAGGACAGCACTAAACTCACTGAAGCCTGTTCTGGTGTGTGAACAGTCATAACCATCTTAAGTGTGGCCTGTGGCAGCGAAACTGAGGGCAGCACTGTGTTCTCAGATCACCGACGCGGTCTCCTCGTCTTTTATGCGTGGCCAAGGTATCAAAGTAGTAAACGGTGAAGGCACAGCTTCCCCTAAGCAGTTCAAAACAACCAACAGGAGTGACTTACCAAATGTCTTGAAATGTGTGAAATCTGTGTTTTGCTGAAGTTTAAGATCTGCTCTGCCTGCAGTCAAAGCCGGTAACACAAGGGGGAGCAACTCTACCAGAAGTACTCTCCTCTAAACAGCTGTGTAAGGTCGTACCACTTACAATGGTGTGTTTGAAGCTTATGTGTATTTGTGTTCTAACTTCACCAGGTCACTTCTGCAACATGATTTTGATTTTTTTTTCTTCCCCCTGACATTTATTACACTCTACCACTTCCCAAATCTC